ACATTACCAGCAAATACTGAGAGGAATCCGAAGGATGCCATGGTTGTAGCAGTGACATTGAGGAGTGGAAAGGCCTTGGAAGACCCTAGCAGCTCGAAAAAGGCACCAGAGGCAGAAGAGGAAGCACCGGGAGAAAGATCTTGTGCAAAAAATGAAGAATCAGCCTTGCACAGGCAAAATGAAAGCGGTTTGCCTGTGCAAAAGCATGCTGCCCGTGTACCTCAAAAAGTGGAAAAATTGAAGAATGAAGAGGTAAAGCCTTATGAACCTCCCGCACCATTCCCTCAAAGGTTAATGAAGCCCATGGAAGACCCAAACTTCAAGAAATTTGTGAATATCTTCAAGCAACTTCAGATTAACATACCCTTGGCGGAGGCACTTGAACAGATGCCTACATATGCTAAATTCTTAAGGGAGTTGCTGACTAAGAAGCGTAAGTGGGCTGATCTAGAGAAGGTAACCCTTACTTCTGAATGTAGTGCTGTGATTCAGAATAAATTACCAGAAAAGAGGGATGATCCGGGCAGCTTCACCATTCCATGTGTCATTGGAGGTACAGAATTCAATAAATCACTTTGTGATCTTGGAGCAGGAATTAATTTGATGCCATACTCAGTATACAAGAAATTGGGATTGGGAGATGTTCTTAAGCCTACTCGGATCACCCTCCAATTGGCTGATCGATCAGTGAAAATCCCAAAGGGAGTGGTGGAGAATGTATTGGTGAAGGTGGGGAAGTTTATTCTCCCTACAGATTTTGTGATTCTGGAGATGGAAGATGATCGGGGAGTGCCTCTCATTCTCGGCAGACCTTTTCTAGCAACCGGTGATGCACTCATCGATGTCGGGAGAGGCAAGTTGACATTCCGAGTAGGTAAGGAGGAGGAAATTTTTAATGTCTTTCAAGTTGATCATAATCACGATGCATGTGATGACTTTGAAAGTGGAAGTCGAGAAAGGAAAAATTCCTCTTCCTGTGATAGTGGACCATCCGAAGAACTATCACCTATCCTATCTGCTCAGATTCTGAAATCAAAGCAAGGACAGAAATCCTTGCCAGGTCACCTCAAGTATAGATATTTGGGTAAGGATTTCAACCTTCCTGTTATTATTCCTTCTTCACTGACATTGAAACAGGAAGAGTACCTGCTTGAGGCGCTGCAGTACCACCTACGCCTCACTAAAGGGTCTAACATGCCAGCTAAGAAGGTCATACCCAATTTTCGCACACCTGGCCCTGCAGAGGTGACTCATATGCTGGATGGAGGTTATGCATTCTATCATTGCTCGGGAGGGTATGTTGGATACCTTTCCATACCCATTGGTTGAAAGCTCCATAAACGTCAGGCTGAGGACGTTAAACAAGCGCTTCTTGGGAGGCAACCCAAGGTAAGTTTTATTTTCTTTATTTTTATTTTTAGTTGTGTCAAACCCGTGCATGTTTAGATTAGGAGTTGAACATTAGGGACAATGTTCCATCCTGAGTGTGGGGTGGCGAGTCTTAGTGTTTGTTTGTTCCTTTTGTCATGTGGTCAGTAAAAAAAAAAATTCCAAAAAAAAAATAAATTTGTTTGTTCCTTTTGTCATGTGGTCGGTAAAAAAAAAAACAAAAAATCCAAAAAAATCCAAAAAAAAACAAAAAAATTGCCATTAGGTTGAGCACAGCCAAACTGCATGCAGTTTGCCTGTGTAAAAAGCAGTCTGCCTGTGTAAAAAGCATGCTGCCTGTGTTAATCTAATGGCTAAAAAACACCTAAAAATCAGAAAAAAATAAAAACAAAACCTTGTACTCTTGTGGTAACATGATGTAAATGACCGTGATGCCTTGAAAATGAGTTTTTGCTTGAATGAAATCATCAAAATCACCCCACTAGTGTTGAATTGTATAGTTCTTCACAATGAGCTTGAATGTTTTGACTGACTTAATATGCTTTGAATGAGCAACTCTTTTAGCAACATTCTCTTTTGTGAGGATAGTGTAACGACTTTTGGTGAAGTAGTTAGGCGGAGAACATTGACCATTCAATATGTTTGGATACCGTGCTTACTTGCATCAATTGTGAGCTTTTGATTTTGCAACGAGTCTCTCTGTTTTGAATGTTTTATGATGGGGTGAACTGTATCTTCATAAAAGAAAACACTACCTGACAAGTAAAATATAAGAAAGTTGCATAACAATTAAAGTGTGGGTAAAAATGCCAAAATCGTGTGAGGCAATCACTCATTGCACATGGGGATGAGGAAAGATTCAATTGAGAATCGGTTCGCGACCGTACGATGTTGCTTATCAAGTACGATCCCCAGTTGAGTGAAGTGCCATTAGAGGATGTGAAATGACCCTCCACACGGACCGAGGATAAGGAGTTAAAAGAAGCCCTTATGCGAGTGCTAAGAAGCAGAAATTGCTCTTGCTCGGTCACCGGTAGTAAGAAACAAATCCCACTTGTACTAAATACGACTACTCGGCAAGCAAAAGCAGAAAGAGAGAAAGCCTCTCCTTGTCATAAAAGGTAGTGATGTGCTTAAAGTTATAATCATGTTTGCGAAAGGCTTCCCCCATTAGTTTTTGAGACTCATGCTTAATTAATTGCTTATGATTGGTGTGAGTAAGCCAGATTGTCCTCACGAGATATGCACCTCACTGATGTGGTTAGATTCTCCTAATAATTGTTGCACCATAAGTTGTTAACCAACCACTACCCAAAATTGAGTGTTGCTAATTGAGTTTTTGGTGGATTTGAGTCAGTCAATGGTAATGGTTGCAAAGAACTTGAGTGTGGGGTGAAAGGTATGATCATTAAAGCACAACTTGTCATTTGAGAAAGAAACTACTGATTACAACAAGAGTACAAGGAAATTTTGTGTTTTGCTTTGAGTGTTTGATTAGTGAGTCTGTGGTGTGTCATTGTTTTGGATGGTTATGTGTTTGTGTCTTTTGAGTCGTTGCTTAGGGACAAGCAACAATTGAGTGTGGGGTTGTGATATTCGGCTTTAATATATCGGGTTCTTGGACTTTATGTGATTATCTCATGGTATGTTTTAGCCAATTGGTGCTATTTTAGGGCTCGCTAACCCGAGAATGGTTGAAAAACCATTACTGCCTAGTGCCATGAGTTTGATATGATACAGGTGGAGAAAGCACGAAAAAGGAGCGAGTGTACAAGCAATAAATCGGGCTCGAATTATTGGTGGACTACTCACTTGGGCTCAAGGCCCAGAGGAATTGGACTTGGAACTTGGACGGAACTCTACGAGGAAGGAAGAAGAATTGGGCCAAAGCCCATTGAATTTGTTTTTTCTCCTTTGCCAGGCGGACAAAAGGAATGGAGGGACACACGGAATTATATGGGGAGGAAAAAGACGAAAAGGAGGAGGAATGAAGTGGACGGGAGCTTTTGGAAAGAGGAACGAAATTCTCTTGGGAAAAGAAACAGAGGCGCAGCGGAGAAAAGAAAATCAAGCGAAGGCAGTTCACGGAGCTGGGGACGCGATTGGCAATTGGCGATCTGTTTTTCAAGGCTTGAACTGAGTTCAATGAGAGCGATTAGTTGGTTGGATTTTCTAAACCTAATTAGTTGTTTCTTGTTGATTTAGAACATGATGAACAAAACCCTATCGTTTTATCTTAATTTCGTCATGAACTAAACCCCAATTTCTGGGGGAAACACCATAGGATGTAGCTATTTCTTGATTTGATGGATTGATTCATATTTCTTTTCCTCCAATCTCTATTGCATGAAATTACTTAATGCTTTGTGTTGACTGGCCATCAATACAACGATTTGTTGTTAATTAGGTTATTAGCGACAGTGAAACCCTAATAACTGAACATATTTCATGTGACATAGTAACTTATCGAAGCGACAGTGGATTAAATAAGGTGCTATGCGGTCTTAAATATATCGGTCTTCAGACTAAATAATTAACTCATTGAGCTACGACAATAGGATTTGAATTAATTGTTTAGTACGTAGTAATTCCCGACAGGGATAGCTAGCACAGTAGTGATATTCTGGCTGTAGAGATATGGATTAAATTGATTGGAATATGTGAATTAATTTGGATATGATAGGTAGCGAGTCCCGGTGTTTCTCCCAGAGCTTTCTCCCATTGATTTTCTCCCGACAACTTTAATTTGTTTGTTTTGTTTAATTATTAGCTAGTATTTTCATCACTCAAACCATTTTCACTTATAGTTTAATCCATAGAATTGATAAATTAAAAGGTTGTACCAGTCCCTGAGAGACGATACCCGGACTTTCCGGATTACTACAAGATAGGAATTGGCATATACGCTTTTGCCCTATCAACAATATCACCGCGTTTGTCTCAAACGGCGAACATTAGGTGGTTGGACCTAATTTTCACCTACGAGGTGTGGGAAACGTGGGAAACAATCACCGTCGTAACCTAGGGCGGTGAAGATGTTCCCCGCCTTGCCCTAAAACGGTGACGTATTCACCATTTTTAAATAACACGGTGATGACTTCACCGTTTTGGTTAAACGCGGTGAATTGTTCACCGTTTGAATCAAACGCGGTGAATACATAATTGTTTTAATTTAAAACGGTGAAATGTTCACCGTGTTTGTCTAATGCGGTGATTGTATTCACTGCGTTTGTCAAAAACAGTGAATGTGAAACATGTGTACTTTGGGAATTTTTTTATAACTTATGTATTTTGGGAATTGTTTTTAAGAACTAGTGTACTTTGGGATTTTTTTCGTCTTAAAACAACAACAAAAACGCTTGCATTGAACCGGAAGCTAAATTGGTGGTTGGAACGATTAACCGCTCAAACCATTCTAAGAAGCTAGTCGGTTCTCAACCCTCTAACTACTTAATTAAAAAAGGGCTAATACCACTAGGAAACTTGAACTATCAAGTCTGTGCAATTTTTGTCTCGAACTATTCAATATGATATTTGTGTCCTGAACTATTGTTCCGTTAGTATTGACCTTCTTTAACCGTTAGTTTTTAACAGAAAGTCTAGTCAGCGCTGACGTGATATCTGACGTGGAAATTTAAATTCAATTTTGATTAAAAACAAAGTAAACATAACAAAATAAAAAAGGGAAATGGGTAATTTCTTCGTTTTCACCTCAGTTCTTTCAATTCCTCTGTCTTGGGCTCGCACAAGCACAATCGCCAGCCACTCTGCTTCTTCCAACGAATAGGCGGAGATATATCATCAGAAGCAGAGGGGTCACTAAGCTTTGACCTTGACCTTTCTCTGGCGGCGATGGAGGAGTTAGGAGGAGATAGAGAGGGAGGGCAGGCGAGTGGCAGATCTGAGTGAACGGCAACGATGGATGCAGATCTACCTCTGGTGGCGACGAAGGAGGTGAGAGGCAGTGGAGGTCACAAGCGAATCATCACCATCTATGAAGCAAAGCCGTCGCCACCCGAAACTCCTCCCGCTGCTTCTTCGTCTTCTCTCCTCCTTACTTCTGCCGTCACCCAGATCCAGTCCGAATACGCAGTCCGTGCATCGTCGAAGATACTACACCAACTACTCCATTGCAAAAAAATGCCCAAAAAATGAAGAAAAAAAAATCTCCCTAGAACCCAATCCTCAATCTCTGCATTCTGTCCTGGAATTCTCCAACTCTAATTAGGATTTCCCCTCGACTAATTGCAGATTGAGTTGTTCTGTCGATTGAGAGCTCTAGATTGCATATCCACCCACATTTTCCTTCTCGTGACACCGACGCACTGGATTCCATCGTGCTGCTGACGAGGCAGGCGGGTCGATTTTGTGAGGAGGTTCCGATGTGGAGCGTGACACCGGCGCACCGGAATCTATTTCTGTCGGAGAAGGAGACCAGAGTAATCTGACTAAATAATTTTGTATTTTTATTTCTAATAATTTGGTATTTTTCTTATTTTAATTATGATTGTAAAAAATTAATGACATGTCAATGATATGTGCATGTCACATTCTTGCCACGTAGACCTGGCAATCGGGTCGGGTTGGGGATTTTGGTTACAGGTCGGGTCATATTTAATTGGCTAATTTCGGGTCAAATATTGACCCAACCCATTCGGTTTTGGGTCGGGTTACAGGTCATTTCGGGTTATGAGCATTCTCAGAAAAAATATCAAACATGCTTCATATTTTCTTAAAGAACACAAATTTTCACATATGCATGGCAAAAGTTTACTTAACACATGTCAATTAACATATTCTCAAATCCTTCCATGCTAATGAAATGAAATACAAATTGCGCAAATCATTAAAAAACAATCACAAGAGTAATACTACTATAAGAAACACATGATATTTGATTATCCTTAAACTCCAAACATGTCATCAAATCCTTGTGATTTTTTGAACATCTCACCAATTTGTGAGTGATTTTATCATTTTGAGAGTGATATATAAAATGGAACGGGTCTAACGGGTCTAACGGGTTGACCCGCTAACCCGCCCAACCCGACCCAACAAATTATGGGTTATCGGGTTCAGGTCATTCGGATTTCGGGTTGCAAAAATTTATAGTTTTCGGTCGGTTTCGGGTCGGGTCAACGGGTCGGGTTGTAATGTGCCAGGTCTATTGTCACGTCAACAAAAGTCAATATTGTATTGACCACCATTTGGTCAACCGTTATTTATAACAGTCAATGAAATTTCCAGGACATAAATGACACACAACTATAATAGGTTGGGACACAAATATCATATTGAATAGTTCGGGACACAAATGACACAGACTTGATAGTTCGTGTTTTCTAGTGGTATTTGCCCTTAAAAAAATTAGGTATGCATTTGGAGTAGACGTAGGGACTAACAAATTGAAAGTAGCAATTTCTCTTCTCATTTCTCTCTTGAAAGTTGGAACCTCTCTTGATTTAAAGCAGAAAAGAATTTTTTTACATAAATATTGTATACGAAAGTCGTTAAGACCAATACGAGCGTATGCCCCCAATAGGTTATACACTGGACAACAAGCCTCATTGGAGTGCGCGCCTCACAATTGAATTCTACAGCTACTAAAAGTCGTGCCCCAATTGTTCTTATTGTCATTCCAATTTGTCTTTTCTTTGCCCAGATGCTATAAACCCTTACTGTGTCATCTTCTTCCTCTAGACAAACCAATTACCACCAAAGCTCTCTCTAAAATTGGCAGAAAAACCACCTCCCCACCATAAATCGCCTGAAATCACCTCCCCATCAGGATGAGTCTGAATTAGCAGCCTTCTAAAAATCTTCTTTTTTGTTTTGCCGACCATGCAAGGCAAAGTGTTTGATGGTGGAGGGTACAACGATGAGAATCATGACCATGGTGGTCGAAGGAAAGGCAGGGGTAGAGGTGGCGGTCGACAAGAAATAGCTCATCGTGAGTTGATTTCCCTCTTTTTCCTTGTACCCTGCAACCCACCCGATCGACCAAATCTGACCAAGAATCGTTGCTGATTGATCGCGTGCTCGACGAATCTACAACCAGTGCAATGACGTTTCCTTTCCTTTCCCGCCTTTCCTTGTCCTTCTCTTCGTCGTATCCTCCCTCCCCTAGGCGATTGACCAAATCCGGCCTAGAAGCGAACAAAATCGGGTATGCCTCATTAACCATAAAGTGACCATAAACAATAGTTCGTCCACCACTATATAACCAGATTTTCACAAAATTGTGCAGGATGAGCATCAAAATTGTGTTTTGTCACAGTGGTATGATGGATACATCAAAAGCAGTGCCAAGTATGTTGGCGGGGTTGAAGATCGTGTTGATGTTATATCGTGCTTAGAACTTGTGAGTACTTTGATTCAAGATTTCGATTACTTGTCAGTTGAGAGGGTGTGGTATTTGACTCCGAGACAGAGCTTGGAGAATGGTTTGCACGAGATACTCAATGATGTTGACGTGGTGAATGGGTTACTTGGAGATGCCGAGCTAGGGGAGCTGGTGGTGTTTTTTGAAGCAACCAATTTCTCGGGGAAATGGGAGACAACTAAGGGCATAGTGAGGATGTTGCAGATGAGGAAGGTGACAACTCTATCATAGTCGAGTTCATCTGGCTAGATGATTACGAAGCTGAAACTCCAGATGAAGAATACCACAAAATTAGGGTCCGTTTTTGTCATATGAAACATAAATATATGTTCGATGCAGCTGGATCGGTGGAAGAGGTCGACCAAGTGTTTGTAGATGAAAATGAGGTAGAAGAGACTGTGCAGCCCGAGGATGGACAGCCAAAGGAGGGGCAGCTAGAGGGACAACCTACTATAAATGAGGAAGAAGATGCCGGAGAGGGACAAAACCAGGTAACATCAACGATGATGATGATGTTGAAGTTGAAGGAAGTGAAGCAACAATCTATAGGGGTTCTGAGAACTCGAATCATGTGAGGGGCAATATTGGTGAAGAAGAGGAGGTGCCTATGATCTTCAAATGTCGATTTTATGATCCAAATTGTGATCATAAAATACTTTTGATCACCACACATATGAGGTTTTCTATTCCCAAGCAGTTTCAAGAAGATATTACAAGGCATTCAATTGAGATTGGAGCTTATATTAGATGGGTGCGCAACAGTGAGAAGAGAAAAGAAGATGTTTATGCCCAAAAGTATGTATGGAGGGTGTATGCAAGTTAGTATGGGAAAAGGGAAACTTTTATGGTAAAGGGCATTGAGACTCCTCATGATTTCCCTCGTACATTTCGCATTCGAGATGCTACTTCCAAGTGGATAGCTAATTGATTCGAGACTAAATGTACACTTTTTATCCCCGTTTTTGTTTGGCATTTGTGGCATTTGAGCTCCAAAAAAGGGTGGGTTTACACTAGGTTTGCTGTGTTTCAATGTGATTTATAGTCTAACAGGCGGAACCAACCACGAAGTTTAAATTGGAAGAAAAGGCGTGAGGATCGAGCAAAAAGGAGGAAGTAGCCGCTGTTCACGGTCCAAGCCATGAGTTCACGATCATCAGGACCGGGAACTAGAGCCACAAATCGCGAACTGAAGATGGTCCAGAGAGTTTTCGGAGGTTACTGACGCCGAGTCAGTTCACGTTCGTAAGACTGTGAACTGAAGCCATGGACCGCGAACTGAATTATTGAAGCGGTGTGTTTTGGCGGTCTTCACGGTCCAGGCCAGGTGTTCACGACTGTGAACTGGGACCGTGAACTCGACACGATCAGTCTATAAAAGGAGAGCTGAAAGGAGGAAGAAGGGAGAACCCAAAGGGAGAGAAACCTTCTTATTCTTGAAACCCTAGAGAGAGAAAGCCACAAACCAAGAAGGAGAAGAGGCTAGGGTTTGCTCCAAGTCAAGATTTGGGAAGCTCCTCTTCAAGAGAGGATCTCTTCAAGCACAAGGAAGGATTGAGGCATAACAATGATGGTTTTTTCCTTTTTCCTTTGTGTTCTTCCTTTGTCTAGCATGGAGTAGTCTCCCTTTTCACTTGGGTGTTGTAGAATCCTAACTTCTACCATGTAGTTGATTGTGTGGATTGAATGATTATGTGTGGGTGGTGTTTATTTAAGGTTTGAGGTATTTTTCATGGTGATTGTGCATTTTGTGTGCTTGGCAATCTATTGTGCTTTTCTAACCTAGCTTAGAGGGAAACCCCCTTATCTTAAGAGGCTCAAATTGAGTTGGGTTTTCTTGGGCATTCCATGCCTCCTATATAGGTTAATGTAGGGCAAACCTCTTAACTCAAATTGAACACCTAGGTTAATTGTGATTTAGTCATCCAAACCCTAGTTTGAGGGAGAAGGTAAGTCAACCCTCAATTGCTTGAGCCAAGAGGGCTACAATTGTAGTCTATAATGCATTCCTTGGCCTAGCGATTGAGAGTGTGGTTTCCAACCACTATTTCTCCTTCTAATGGTTCGCAATCACCTTGTCGCACACCGATTCATTCGATCCCACAGTTCACGGTATTTAGTTAGGGGCAAACAAATCCAGAGTGAAGCTTCTCACCAAGAGTTTCAATCCTTTTACTTTTCAAGTCTTTCATTTTTAAACGTAGAGTGTAAAGATTTTCACAAACTTGATTCTGCTAGATAATGTTTCAAACAATCGAAGTAGGGGTACATGGGCCGGCCCGGGTTGATATTTAAACATACTTAACCTATATTGCACCAATTTAAGGTTTATACTTGGGCCTTAGGTGGGATTTAAGTGTGATATTCGGGATGAGTCACTAATGAATTTCTTGATCGGTTTAGAGTGAATCAAGATAGGAATGTGAATCTCATGGCGGCTGAGATAAAGCAGAGGTACAATGTGGAGGTGACACGAAAAATTTATTACCGAGATCGAACAGAAGCTTGGCGTATTCTCCACGACTCATTACAAGAAGATTTCAATCGAACTCTGTCATATATCAGTCATCTGCAGCGAGTCGACCCGAATGGAAACTTCCAACTAGAGGTGGATTTGGACCCAGGATTGGATAATGTATTCTTCAAGAGATTCTATGTTGGCTTTTCAAGCTCGTGTCGTGGATTCTTGGAAGGCTGTAGGCATTTATTCTTTCTTGATGGGTGCATCTTGAAAGGGGAGGTGAAAAAGATGTTACTTAGTGTTGTTGAAAAAGACGAAAACAACATGTACCCTATATCATGGGCAATCGTTGAGTATGAGAATGGGTGCTCGTGGACATGGTTCGTGCAAACATTTCAAGAACAACTTTGGCTTCAAGATGGCAATGGGTGGACAATTGTTTTCGACCAACAGAAGGCAAGTTTTCATTTCCATCTTGTTTAATGCTTGTAATATTTTAGGAGTTGCAGCTCGTGAATAACTTCATTGAAAACTTATGCATGTTTAACATGTATACTTATGGCAATTCAAACAATGATCCCCAAAACAAGCTCGTGTATAATTTGACAAGTGTGTATGGTTATCTAAAACAGTGTGTATGCTTCCTAATTTGACCATGCATTCTGGAAATAATGCTTGTTGTAATTTTCTTTCACAGGGTTTGCTTAGGCCATCCATGAGTATTTACCAAATGCTGAGCATATATAGGAAGTGTGCTCGACATGTACATGCACACTTCAAAATGAAGCATAGGTTTGACTTGGCAACAAATCTTTATTGGGAAGCTGTGTATGCAACCAATGAGGTTGATTGGAGAGCTGCTATAACTAAGATGCAGGCACTTGAAGGGACAGTGTATCAGGATTTTATGGTTGCGGAATCGGGGTGGTTCTGTCGAGTATTTATGAAGACTCATTCGAAGTGTGCATCCGTGGAGAGCAATGTATGTGAGTCATTTAACA